AGAACGAAGCAATTTTTTTGGATATAATAGTAACTTCGATAAAAATTTTAATTTAACACTTTGTTCAACATGTAATTCGAGATATAATCAGGTTAAAAATATAATTAGCTTACAAGATACAAACAACCAAGCTATAATCGACCAAAATACAATCGACCAAGATACAATTGACCAAGATACAATCGACCAAGATACAGTTGATCAAGATACAGTTGATCAAGATATAGTTGATCAAGATATAGATAACCAATATATGATTGATGAAAATAGTAAAATAGAAGCAACTCAATCGATGTTCGATAAGTTTCCTTTCACGACCTCTGCATCATTTGAATCCAACAACAATGATTTGCTTAGATCTGTAAGTGATTCTTCATATTTGTTTATTATAAGTTTCTTCACGGGTTTTTAATACTTTTGTATTATTTGGACCGATTTTAATAATTTATTTAAGTCTACAAAAGCATTAGAAGTAACGGTAACTCATTTGACTGAACTAAAGGTGACAGTTGTTATTGATACAAAAAAAACATGTTCTCTGGCAGAAAAGTGGTTGACTTTTAAAGATGATGAAATTAATAATTTTTACTTGTTTAAATCAAGTTTAAATAGCCATATACAAAAATATTTAGATCTTCGATTTATATATAATGATGATTATGAAATAACTTATAAAGTTAATGGTCAAGGGCAAGCTATGTGCATAAATAATAGAGAGGATTTTTTAAGTTTTGTTGACAAATATAAAAAACCTGATAATTTGGCAAAAATAATGTATCTTTATACTATCTTAAAAAATCCAGAACAATTTCATAAAAGGAAATCAGAAGTAAGTATAATTTTTTTATTTATAAGTGCTGCCAAAAGAAAATATACATATTACTGTATTAAAAAAATAGAACTTTCACACAAAAAATGTGGGCATTTACATAACTTGGATTGATTATTCTAGAGGTTCAATTATACATTTAATGACGTATACATACCAAATGACTAGAATATTCTAACATTCTGTTGTACAAGTTTTATACCTAAATGTGTATGTCAGCATTCATATATTTGTGTATCATTTGGTTCTATTTTGATAGATTTATTTAAGTTTTTAAGTGATTCATCATATATTGTTTCAGTATTCTATAAATCGTACCATGATTTTTTAATGCAAATGTATCATTTGGTCCTAATTTAAAAATATTTATTATTATTTTTTTTTATTTAGAATACTAATAATGATGAAAAAAAAAAAAAATCAAAAACCAGTAATATACCTAAGGAATCAGATTTAAATGAGGATGAGTATAATCAAGCTCAAGTTATTATAGAACTTCGAGATAAATATAAATGTTCACTACATGTTACACTATATTATGTTAAAGATTAATGCTATCTCCAGTTAAATTCTTCTCGATTAACATTATGGGCTCGTGATATAGTATGTAATATATAATTTATATAAACTAACAATATTACCAGGCCTACCGAATAATTAGAGGCTTTGCAGTAGAAAGGGCCTAAATGCTACTGCATTTAGGCCTTTTCTACTGTAAAGACCTTAATTGATTGTAGGGCAATATTTCAAGCTCAATTAATTGATGGTGGCGCAGCCACAATTAGCAATTTTACGTAATTATTATCGTTCGTAACTATATATAAGTGTCGCCAAAAGAAGTGCAATACAATACTTGGATAATGTGTACCAGGTTGGTGGTGCAGACAAAATTTTTAAAACTCGTTAAGGTTAGGGTTAGGATGGGGTTAGGAATTAGAGAAGGATAAATTTATATAGTAAAATTGCCAACGAATCTTTTTACTAGAACACTAAAGGTAGTTTCTTATGCTGATTTTTGAGTTATTGGCATTTTTTGGCAAAACAAACTTTTATTCTGAATCTTCCAGATCGTGTTATGTTATACCTTATCTTGAAATCTAATTTGTAGTTCTGGAGATCTACGTCACCAACCTAAACACATTATCCGAGTACTTTTCAGAAGTTTGTTATGAGTGCTGCCAAGGGAAAATATCACTTTGGACTTTCAATTACATTTTAACCGGACACTTTCTATTTAATTTATTAAAGATTGTGTCTGGTCAAAATATAATTGAAAGCCTGAAGTTACATTTTCTCTTGCAGCACTTATATGATTTGTCAGTCGATCATAGGGGCTGAATAATCTATAATTTATTAAAAAAATGGAGGTGCTCTTTT